AGTTGCGTTGGGCAATTCTTTTAATGAAGCAGGGCTAGGCGTTGGAGGCATCTCTCTTTCTGCTAAGGGTTTAGTGGTGAGCATCTTATCCCATGAGAAGGAATGGCATTCTCTAAGGTGGAGGAGGGGGACATGGACATCCCATTGAGTTCTAGTGGTTTTATTTTAAGTTATTCAGTGACATTTAAAGAAATCAGAGGAATAGGATTTGTGGCAGAAGGTAAAGGAGAACTTTTACTCTTCACCCTATTTACTTCTGGATTGTTTATTTATTTTACATTGTGAGGCCCTGTATTACTTTTGTACTTAGGCAAAAAATAAATAAAAAGGTTTTCTTAGTGTTGTAAGTATTAAATGTGGCTGCCCTCTCTTATTCAAAACTGCACTGGCAGTAAAAACACAAATACGTAAAATAATGTCCTTATATAATACAATGGATGATGGTACATTAATCATCAACAATTTACAAAGCATGTTCACATCCATTATCTCATTTAATCCATGGCATGGTTTTGCGAAGTAAGTAATATTTTACCCATTTAACGGCTGAGAACCTAAATGCACAATAAGTACATGTCGTAATTGTCTAAGATGACTCTTCTCCTTCCTTATGGTTTGAGTGTTGTCTTCGGTTCACTCTGCTGTAGTGTTGCTGGCACTTATTCCAGTCCTGTATAAATGTATTTATAGATCATTCACTTGTGAATAAGCATCCTTTTTTGAAACTGCCTTATCTGATCCTCAATTTCCTCATTTTGAAAACAGAAACAAATATAGTACTTCTCCCATTGAGTCAGTTTAGAAGTAAATGAGTGTAAAGTGCTTAGAACAGTGCCTAACACAGAGTAAATTATTATTATTATTATTTACTATGTGACCAACTCATTCTTGTTTGAGATTTTCCTGATTTCACCACTGAGAGTCCCAAGTCCTGGGAAATCCCTTAGCACTGAGACCACTGGGACCTTTGGACTCCCTTCACCCTATTGCCATGTGCAATGTGGTGTTTCCCCCTGTCAAAACCACTCTGTTGATCAGCTCAACTTTTACAGAAGTATCACAAAATGCATTTTTTTTCATAAACATAAAACCCATGCTCTTATCTTATTCTGACTGCCCTGCCTGAGGCTGGTAGACATTCTTTGGCCATCAGAGCTTAATCTAGGATTTCCTCTGGTTTTCACCTGAACCAAGATCAAAGAGCACCCCCACCTTCAAGAAGGAGAAGGTGTGAGGAGAAAAGATGTGAGGGGAGTCAAATGAGGGCTAGGATGACTCCAGGGCCTTGGAGCCCTGGAATACTCCGCTCATGGAATAAAGAAACCGCACCCTTCCTGGGTCTGAATTGCCAGAATGTAAAAGAGCAGTTGTCTTCCTCACTCACTGGTCACTCTAACTTCAGCTCTATAATAGATTAGGGCGATATATATCACAGGGGAGGTGGTACAGTATGTATTTCTCAAATCCTGCCACTGAAGATGTGCCAGCTCTGCAAAGGTGTGTAGAAGGCTGAATCTAAAGGACAAAGGTGCCGGGTCCTGGTTGGTTGGAGGAGAGAAGAGAGGGTTGTTTGTGTTGGGGAAATCAAGCCTTGGGCTTAATTAGACTTAATTTAATGGTGCAACAGAGAGAGGGGCCTGGACTGAAAGTCAGAAAACAAAGTTCTTTTTTTAAAAATATATTTTATTGATTTTCTACAGAGAGGAAGGGAGAGAGATAGAGAGTTAGAAACATCGATGAGAGAGGAACATCGATCAGCTGCCTCCTGCACACCTCCCACTGGGGATGTGGCCGCAACCCAGGTACATGCCCTTGACAGGAATCGAACCTGGGACCCTTCAGTCCGCAAGCCGACGCTCCATCCACTGAGCCAAACCGGTTTCGGCAGAAAACGAAGTTCTTGAAAGGTTAAAGTCGGTGGTGATGTGCAGGCAGGCTAAATAGCCATCTCAGACAGTGATGAAAGAAAATTGGATTTATTTAAGGAAAGGGGGATGGAGATTGGGGATATCCAAATGGAAGGGCTACACAGCACTGAGCCAAAAGGTATTGGGTTCACGATGGCAGCAAAAATGTACTTCAGACAATGAAACAAGGAAGGGCATAGAACAGTGGTTCTCAACCTTCCTAATGCCGCGACCCTTTAATACAGTTCCTCATGTTGTTGGTGACCCCCAATTTCATTGTTACAAATTGAACATAATTAAAGCATAGTGATTAATCACAAAAACAATATGTAATTATATACGTGTTTTCCGATGCTCTTAGGCGACCCCTGTGAAAGGGTCGTTCGACCCCCGAAGGGGTCGCGACCCACAGGTTGAGAGCCGCTGGCATAGAAGAAGCAACAGGAAAGCCTAGGCTGGGCTGCTTTAGCTCAAAGGGGGCCTTGGAGACAAATTTAGGGAGTAAGCCCAGGACGAGCTGCCCCTGCCCATTGCTCCCCTGGTTGCAAGTCTCATGGGGCCCCTTAGAGGCTGGGAGATACGTGCCTGTGGGGGAAGGAGAGGGGTCCGGAATGGCACAGTGTGCTCCTTGGAGGGAGAGCACACACTGGGTCCTTTGTCCTGAGCATATTTACCTCTTTCTTGCAGGTGGAAATCTTAGGGGAGGTGTCAGGGGAGGATCATAATAGAATATTCATCAGCTTTCCAGGTGTGCTCTTCAGGGTCCTGGTCTCCACTGATTGGTCAGGGCCAGGGCAGGGCGTCATTAGTCAAGGTAGCTGTTCCTGAGGCAGCCAAGGGTCACTTGTCTGGTTTTGCTGCTTCTCTGTACCTAGAGCTGAAATACAACTGAGGCCTAGATGTTATCTTTAGGGAGGAAAGATCATGGGTTCAAACCACATGACCAGTGTGCTATGCTGGGGGAGGATGGGTTACCCTGGGGGCAAGGTTCTTGTTTTCCCAGCTTTGCCTCTCGCTAGGCATCCAGGGCTTTCTTCCCCTGTGAGTTTCAGTGCCTGGCCCATTGGCTTTGCTCTGCTCCTGTCTAACAGCTCTCATCCTAGGCTGGGCTGCTTTGGCTCAAAGGGGCACTTGGAGACAGGTTTAGGGGTAAGCCCGAGACAAGCTGCCACTGCCCGTTGCTCCCCTGGTTGCAAGTCTCATGGGGTCCCTTCGAGGTTGGGGGAAACGTGCCTGTGGGGGAAGGAGAAGGGGACGGGAATGGCCTTTTATGAACTCACAGCCCCAAGCCACACACTTCTCCCAGAGCCCTGTACAACTCCAGGGGGTGCATGTCATTCACAGAGACATGTGAATGTGCCCCCTTGGAGCTGGCAATGCAGGAGGCTCCATAGCCTCTCTGGTCCTCTGTTTCTCCCTCTATAAAGTGAAGGGTTAAATTTGATGATAGTCTTTATCATTCAGTTAACTTTCTTTATGGTTCCATTCTAATCACCAAACTGGGAGAAATGGGATTTGAGTGTCAGTTGAAAAAAATACTGCAATCTGATGCTAGTACCACCTGCATTTTTTTTACTCCTTCCCTAGAGTGTAAAGTGGTAGAAACTAACAAGACGAGAAAAGAAAATCAGAAGATGACGTGTGGAACATCTATTGTTTCAGCCTCATCTGCTTCCATGCCTCTTTCTTTTGGTGAACTTAATTTTGCTTTGTGGAACCGCCCCCTTCTAATTGGATAAAGTCTGGTCAGTCCAGGAACCCCACCCTCCCCTGGCCACAGAATGAACAAGTGACTCAAGTTCTGCCAATAGGATGCTGTCTCCTTTGAATCTGACTCTTGAGCCAATAATGTGAAATTAAAACTAGTTAGAGCAGATCCATGCCAAAGGATATACCCTAAAGCAAGAATCAACAAACTATGGCCATGTACCAAATCTGGCCCTCCAGCAATTTTTGTAAATAAGGTTTTATTGGGACATAGACCAATCATGTATTGTCTATGGCTGCTTTCATGCCACCAAGACAAAATTGAGTCGTTATGAGAAAGACTGCCCCATAAAGCCTAAAATGTTTACTATCAGGACCTTTACGGAAAAAGTTTGCTAATTTCTGTCTAAAGGGGTTGGCCATGAATGCGGCTCCATAGATCCCAGGAGCGATCCTGGCTCCTTCCCATTCCAAAGCCTGGGTCTCCAGGGTTTCCTTGGATTCTGTGAGTTACTCCTCATTTTTCTGAGAAATTCACTTTTTTGCTTAAGTTACAGTGACTCGGTTCCTGTTGTTACAACCAATGAAGCCTAAACTTTGGGGGATTTAAATGTTTTTAATTTTTTAAAATTACTTAGAGAAATTAGTATTTGACTTGACTTTTCTGTCTGGCTAAGTGTGACCATTTAGTGTGGCATCGATGGGAGAGGAGCCACATCCCTGTGGAGCAGCACTAGGTGGCGATGTCAATGGCCCCTGCTGTGCTCTTTAACCTTATGCAGGATTTTAGGAAAAATGGCCAATAATCCACATCAAAGTCACAGTGACATCTAGTATGACCACTATTCCCGTTTACCCAGCACAGGATTTGTCCAAGACTGAGGGGTTTCCTGGGACTAAGAGGTTTGTGGATTGCAGGACTTTCCATTTTAAAAACAGTCCCAGGCAAAAACGGGACAATTTGATCACTCTGAGATATTGTATGATTGATGTTAAATATATGTTGTTTTAAAAAATCAAAACAAGAGTAGTCTTTTAAAAATAAAGAGCATTTAAAAAATTATCATTGCTTTGCTTTGTTTCTAGCCACAATATTTTAAGAATTTTAAATTTTCAAGTAATGTTAAAGGAGAGCACATGATTTAGTTAAAGGGGACACAAGTTTACTATGTTTAAGGAATTCTGTTATAATGGAAATAGTACTAATTGAATCATGACATCATGGAATGAATGGGGTTAGGAATCCGGAGTTCTGGGTCCACATCCTGGCTCTGGGACAACAGCATTTTGTATGTGAACATTACTTCTGAGAAGCACGAAGTGCCACACACACAAATGCAATATGTTATAATTAGTGGTGGAAGGAACAGAGAGTACAATTGCAGATAATTTCTGAAACCTCGGCCAAGAACCAGAGCCTGGTGGGTGCCGGTGATTTCAGAAATGAATCCAGTGCCGGTGCTTGTGTGAAGGAAGGAGACTGATCCTCTGGATTTGCAGAGTCCTGGAAAATGCCTTTGGTGATGAAAAACATCTATTTGGACAAGGCAGCCTCCAGTAAGTAGGCGGATTACCCAGCTTCCTTCGTTCAGAACTGACTGGACTTGTTAGACGACTTCCTAACTATCAGGAAGGAAGAAGGAGGGGTGTGCATGTTAAATCTAGTGCAAATATGAACTGTGCTGAGTTGGAAGATGGCAAGATGAGCTTCTGTCTACATATGTGTAGAGGCTGGCCGGGAGTGAAAGTGGTTGGGGGCCAGGCAGATGCCTAGAGATGGGAGAAACTCCAAAATTAATTCTGAATATCTCATAGTCATGGAGGCTGTCGATGTTGGTAGTTTGGGTAGAAGAGATAGAAAAGATGAAAACCTTTCCCAGGCTAATAAGTATAGAAATTCTGTGGAGTAGATATCTGTTGACCTAGAACCCATTACCCTTGTATAGAATTCAGGAGATCTATGAACGTGGGTGGGGGAAAAAGAGATCTTTGTTTATGCTAACATAAAATGAAATGTAGCATTTCCTTCACTTACAAACGTATGCAAGTGATGCTGCAGTATTAGTGAAACTGAGGCTTGTCACCAGTGGAAATCACAGATGTTTTCAAATCACATTCTTATGTTGTAGAAATATTTGTGTTCATCACTGCTCTGAAATTATGATAGAAATTAGACTCACTGCTAAACTTGTTTCTTAATACACAGGAAGTACATATATTATTGCTATATTGCATCTTTTCACCTTGATTATTGTATTTCAAAGTTATCCGTTTCTTTTGTAGTCCTCTATATTTTGTTTTACACATTTGAAAGTATTATTCTGAGAAGGGGTCCAGCAGTTTCACCAGATTGCTAAGGGCTCTGTCCCTGGAGCTCTGCTCTAGACGCTGCCCTGTGGAAAGCCCAGCGCCTTCCTCCGCAACCGGGCCCTCCGGCCCTTCAGAGACGCTTTTAAGGCAGCTCTGTAGACACATGGACAAATGTTTCAGATGCCGTGAGAAAGGAGTATTTCAGCATGGTTATAGCTTGGTAAAAATATTTGTTCTAGCTCTTGTACTAGTATGTGGACAAGAACTAGAAAATAATTAAGAAAAATGAAACTAGCTATGTTTACTTTTAAAGTGTTATCTCTTCAATACTACTTTTTTTAAAAGCCTGTATGATCTCCTTTTTTACCTAAATAATATATCTTCATTGGTGAAAAATTGCAAAATGCAGTTATATAAAAAAGAAAAATGTTCAGTCTTCCTTAACCAGTTAAAAAAAAAAAAAAGTTAAGCCCTAACTGGTTTGGCTCAGTGGATAGAGCGTCGGCCTGCGGACTGAAGGGTCCCGGGTTTGATTCCAGTCAAGGGCATGTGCCTTGGTTGCGGGCACATCCCCAGTGGGAAGTGTGCAGGAGGCAGCTGATCGATGTTTCTCTCTCATCGATGTTTCTAACTCTCTATCCCTCTCCCTTCCTCTCTGTAAAATATCAATAAAATATATTTTTTTAAAAAAAGTTAAGTGCTGCATTTTTTAAAATGCATACATAGCATTTTAAAAAAATGATATAGAGCCATATGCTCTGACCTGGAAAGATTTCTATTGTATATTAAGTGAAAAAGCAAGAATAATACATAAAATGGGATCCCATTTTTGTTTTTTAAAAGAGGATGTATATACACATTTGAAAATGTCTAGGAGGCCACACATCAAACAAGCATCGGTGTTAACCGTCTACGATGGTGTGGTAATATTAGCCAATACCAGTTTTGTTCAAGGAAAGGAAATCCTCTAAGGAAAAGCACAATGTTGATGCTAGGATTAGCAGCTTCAGGGTGTCCCGGGTATATCCTGTGGCAGCCTATAGAGGTGGCTCCATGCGTCAGATGGCTGGTGCCTGGGAGGGGCCCACTGGCCACCCCCACGGAGCCCTTTACGGCCTGAGCCTCAGCTTTGCAGGCTGGAAGGTACTATATGGTTTTATACCCAGAAAATGGTTTGTTTCTGGAGAAATGATTACATTTACAAGGAGCAAATGGATAAACCAGAATTCAAATGTTTTAAATTAGAATGATAACACCTGCCTAGCAGGGTGTATGAAAACTGGACAAGAGGATGAACTCAAAGCTCTTAGCAGAGAGCATGGCATGTGGGAAGCCCTCAGTGAAAGAAAGCGGTTGTTATTAGGAGGTTTCCCAGAGTTATCTGAAGGAAGGTGAAGCTGGCCAGTGACCATAAGGAACTGTGGAGGTTTACTTCCCCCGTGCATGTACGCTGCTAAGGGCTTTGAGTGTATCCTCTCGTTTCATGCTCACACACCCTCAGCTGTTATTCCCATTTTCCAGACGGGGGACGGGGCATAAAACAGCTAAGAAACTGAACTGTGACAGAACCAAGGTTTGACCTCACTCCGCTGACTCAGCCAGCATTGCCTTTGAGGATGACTTGGTGAGCATGGGCTTGGAGCATGGGTGTCATCTGGATGGTCTTAATGGCAGTGTCATGTAGCTGTAGTGCCAGATACCTCCATATCCACTCTCCAGTTGTGGCTTGCAGTGGGTCACTTCACCTCTCTGTGCCTCAGTTTTCTCATGTGTAGAATGAAGATAATATTAGTATCTACCTCCTAGGTTGTTGTAAGGATTAAATGCTTTTAACATGGTGATTGGCACATAGCAAGTATTCAGTTAATGTTAGCTGTTGATGTGATTGTGTTTGTGGTTGTGAATGTTATCTACCACCAGGACTGATCAAAGAGCCCAGTTATGGGTCTGGGCATTTTGTCCCCTACTTCACACTGAAGATATAATGACCAGTTCCTGGCATATTCTTTTTTTAGCTAGAATATAGATATTTTATTTAGCCATAAAATACAGTATAAGCTTCCTCAGTTACATCAACAGTCAAGTTGGGTCTCCCTGAAGTTTCCCCGTTTACCCCCCCAAGTTAATTTGATTGGATTTTGGGTGTTCACAAATTTTCTCAGACTTTACTTTTTTTAAGAGCACTTTTAGGTTCATAGCAAAATTAAGAAAAAGGTATAGAGATAACCCATATTATCCCTGCCCCCATACTGCCCCCATGTATCCATAGCCTCCATCATTATCAACATTCCCTATCAGACTGGTACTTTTGTTACTATTGATGCATCCACATTGACACATCATAATCACCCACAGTAGGGTTCACTCTTGGTTTTGTGCATTCTACAGATTTGACAAATATGTGATGAATGGCATGTATCCACCATTATAGTATGATACAGAGTATTTTTGCTGCCCTAAAAATCCTCTGTACATCACCTATCTATACCTCCCCCCTTCCTGGGACATTCTAAATATAGCCACTCTTGTTCCTAAAAACTGGATCTAATCCCTTTTTATTCTCTCCATTAAACTGAACACACATCCTTTTCTCATCCCAGGGTTTCAGGTCATCCATTCCCCAGGGAACTCTGAGGCTCCTCCTATATAATAAAACGGTAATATGCAAATTGACCCAGAACAACCAGGAACGACCAGTTGCTATGATGCACACTGACCACCAGGGGGAAGATGCTCAATGCAGGAGCTGCCCCCTGGTGGTCAGTGCGCTTCCACAGGGGGAGTGCCACTCAGCCAGAAGCCGGCTCATGGCTGGCCAGCGCAGCGGTGGTGGCGGGAGCCTCTCTCGCCTCCATGGCAGCGTTAAGGATGCCTGACTAATGGCTTAGGCCCACTCCCCACAGGACTCCCGGGCTGCCAGAGTGATGTCTGACTGCCAGCTTAGGCCCGATCCCCTGGAGAGCGGGCCTAAGCTGTCAGTCAGACATCCCCCAAGGTGTCCCGGACTGGGAGAGGACGCAGGCTGGGCTGAGGGACCCCTCCTCCCCCAGTGCAGGAATTTTCATGCACCGGGCCTCTCGTGCACAAATAAAGGTGTGAACTGAATATACACGGGTTGGCCCCACATATATGGGTATGTCCTTTTGGGCAGTAACCACTCTGAGCTTAGTCCATCCAGGCTCCAGGCAGGAGCTGTGAGACTGAGGAAATCCTGTCCTTGCCTGGCTGGGACCAGGCTCTGGGGCCTCCACTGGGACCTGTCTTTGGACACCAGACTCGGATGAGCACAGTTCTTGCAATGTGCCTGTAGCAGGGCTCAGGTGTTGGGCTGAGTGTGGTCTCACACGGGCCTGTTGGGGCTTGAAGGGGCTGGTAAAGCGGCTAGTTCTCCCCTCAGCTGGACCTCACTGCAGGCCCAGGAAGCTGGAGGCTGTGCTGTTTTCATTCCTGGCCCTTATTCCAAGACAATGGATTTCTCCTCAGCAACAGTAATTCTTTATTATTGAAAGACAGCTGCTGACAAGAATGTTTGCATGAAAACCTTCCCTTCCATCTCCACCTTCTCACAAAGTACACGTCCACCCTCCCACTGCACCCTCAGGATACACCCAGGCCATCGTCACCATGTTAGCCATATCCAAGTTCCACTTGTACTATTATTGCCTTAACATTTTACTTTAAATGTACTCCCTTTTTTCTCAAATAAATTAGTTTGCCAGCAACTTTATATCAAAAATACTGTTAAAATTACAGATTTAATGAGCTGCACTTTTCCTAATATACGTTAAGATATATATATATATTAAACATTTTTAAAGTTTTCCCATGGATCACCTAAAATCACCTTCACTGTGTGGCCCTCGCCAGTGGTATCCCAACTCTGCCAAGGGAAACCCTGGCAAGGTTTGTAAACTCTTCGGGGGGCCCTTCCCAGTCACCCAGTTTGACTTGTCTTCCCAAGACCCCTCGCCTGTGCCCTGTGGGCAGCCTCAGCAGGAAGGAGCAGGTCTGTCCCACTCTGCACGTGGTGCCCTCTTCCACTCAGACTTGGATGTCCTTCTTTTCAGATGGAGAAAGACCCATTCTTTTTTATTTTTTAATGTATTTTATTGATTTTTTTTTACAGAGAGGAAGGGAGAGGGATAGAGAGTTAGAAACATCGATGAGAGGGAAACATCGATCGGCTGCCTCCTGCACACACCCTACTGGGGATGTGCCGCAACCAAGGGACATGCCCTTGACCGGAA